AATTTATATTTCAGGGACACACATCCTTTACTCAAGGGAATGTGTTAACAAAAGGCGTCTCTCTTGCTGCCTCTGACTGTGCCAATGGTACAAGAATAAGTCTTAAACATGAAAATTGGAGAGAAGTCAATCTTTTTTTGTATGTATTTTTGGTTAAAAAGCCTGTTTGGTTAACACAAGCTTAAGAGATCTCAACGTTTTTTTTATACGACATAAAAAAAACGTATTGGTATCATAAATGTGTGTTTGCCTCTGAGCTTATTTTCTGCAAAATACCGAAATCCAACGGAAAATTCCCATTCATTTTTTCAAAGTCACCTACAAAGATACGTGATCTCTGCACCACTCTATTGGAGAAAGCGAGCCAACAATGGTTGAAATAAAGCAGAAATATTTTTTCTTGGTTTAAAATGGAGTACCAGGTAATATTATTAAGTTTGATAGTGATTTCACATTTTCGACTGGTATGTTCTCAGTAGGATTGCACAAAACAACTGTCCCATTTATCAGGAAACTTGGTGGAAAGGTGTCGTGAGAGCCAAGGAAGAACACATTCAAATCTGCGGATACACGGCATTTTTCACTGTTCTCAACATTGAGGTGTCTTGGTAGTTCATACTGAGTTATAAAGATGTGGATACCAGTTTTGGGCTAATACATACTTCTACTACAGCTATCCAGATCCATTCTCTGTACATTTGGATAGCTCGGTAGAATCAAAACCTTAAAGGTCACCTATTATGCAAAATCCACTTCTCTACACCAACATGTGTCCCCTCTTCTTCATGTCTCTTCTACATCAACATGTGTCCCCTCTTCTTCATGTCTCTTCTACATCAACATGTGTCCCCTCTTCTTCATGTCTCTTCTACATCAACATGTGTCCCCTCTTCTTCATGTCTCTTCTACATCAACATGTGTCCCCTCTTCTTCATGTCTCTTCTACATCAACACGTGTCCCCTCTTCTTCATGTCTCTCCTACATCAACATGTGTCCCCTCTTCTTCATGTCTCTTCTTCATCAACATGTGTCCCCTCTTCTTCATGTCTCTTCTACATCAACATGTGTCCCCTCTTCTTCATGTCTCTTCTTCATCAACATGTGTCCCCTCTGTGGAAAGAGACTCTGAAAGTTTCAGGAACAAAGATTCTCTCTCTTTTTGTCCTGATCCATTTTTATAAAAACCTGTCTGAAAATGAGCTGATCAGATTTTGGCCACTTTATGATGTCATAACGATGTTTTGGTTTGTGTAACCATTAGCCAATCAGCAACCAAGGTAACCCCCCCCCCCCCCCCCTTATCACCTGAATCTCCTCCTAGAGCACCATTGAGTTCTTTGTAACCAAATCTCTCTCAGAGGGGCGTGGGGAGGGGCTCCTTATTTTCATCTAAAGTAACAGACAGAGAATCAGCACTTTGGAAACAGGGCTGAAACAGAGGGGATTATGGGTAATGCTGCAATGATCTGTTTGGTGTTTCAGCCAATCAGAGACAGGTTCTGTATATATCTGACACCTGTGATATATTGATGAAAAACAGGATAATAAGGGACCTTTAAAGGTTTATACGATTTCAACTTCAAGCCCCCAAAATAAAGAAGGTATACTTAGGAATAAAACGTAGGATATAAATCAAAGAACACCCATACAATCTGAACACGACAGCCACAAATTAAACTTCAGAAAAGAGACCAGAACCAAGGGGACCCAAGGACAATCAGATCCAATAAAAAAACAGCCCGGAGGATAATCTGAACCGATCCAGAAGGCGGTCAACGTGAACACATCTAAAAAAGAGAGGGAACAGCAAAGCCCAGACCCAATTAGTCTGAATATAATTTAGCCCCGGCCCGACTCTAAACGAAATGAGGGAAAGGAGGAGAAATTTAAGAGAGAAAAAAGGTTTAGGTGCGTTAAGAGAACAGGGGAATAAAACGAGATGGAATCGATGGGATTGAAAAGCGAGAGGAAGAAATGAGAAAGGGGCGATGAGGGGAGCGCAGGAGAAATAAAAGTAAAATTGATGGAGGATGAGAGAGGAGAGGGAGAAGGCTATAAAGGAATACATCTGGTTTTATTCTGGCTGCTGGGCACTGAGCTGATGGAAGTAGATGAGAGGGTTGATTTAAGGAGACATTGACCTCTGACCTCACTTACAAGAACAGTCACACAGCCTTTTATATTCGCTCTTACTGAATGAATCCAATCTCAGTCCATGTACAAATCACCTCGTGCGTAAATGAAAAGAAGGGGAAAAGATACATCAATTATTTATCTTGGAAAATAAAGAATGATTACGTTATCCTGATTGTAAATGACGTAACAAAGTTGCCTTAATTAAAAAGAATAACACAATTAATTTCATAGTTAAATTCAATAAATAAATACTTTATTTCATGTAATTATTTATTTATTTAATGTAATTATAATCGTTAAAATATGGCATGATTTAATACAATTTAGTTTTATATGTTACACCAATAAGTGTTTGTTGTTTCTTGTGCCAAGGAACTAATGTTTGTTCACGCACTGGTACTGCGTGTTTTGTTGATGCACTGAACTCAACGTGGGTGGATGTCTTTTATTGAAGCTCTGATCTAGTCCTTGACATAAAGTTATCATTGTGACAGAAAAGGAACTTTAAAGATGAATCTCCTTTCACGACAAGCGGCCAACGAGGTATTAGTTTCATGTTTTCATGTGGGCGTCATGTCCTATTTTCATTCATATATGTGTAGCACACTATGCTAATCATATCATAAATGTATTCCATATATTTTGAATATATATATATATATTTGTATATATATATATAATATCTGCATGTATATTTTCTATTTCGACATGTATATTTTATATTTTATATTTTATTTTATTTTCTATTCTTGTATATTTTGTAGTTTTGTTTTATTGTAACATGCCTTTTATGCTGCTGTAACAACAACAATTTCCCAATTTGGGATCAATAAAGTACTATCTATCTATCTATCTATCTATCTATCTATCTATCTATCTATCTATCTATCTATCTATCTATCTATCTATCTATCTATCTATCTATCTATCTATCTATCTATCTATCTATCTAATGTCTTTGGCTACGTATATGTTGTTCGTCCGTGTAGTTCTCACGGCGTAACGGAAGAAGGGAGGCTACAAGATCAAAACTCCAAGAATAAACGGCTGTTTTAAAGAACCGACCTGTGTCTGTGTCGTGAAGAGAGCTACACTGATGATATATAATATATAATATATTCTGTAATGGAGTTAAAACAGAAACACTTTTCTTCTTTATTCCAACATTTGAAGAGTGTCCTTGTTGTCTTTCTCATGTCTGATAAGTGGGTCCTCGTTTAAAAATAAAATAATAATAGAGAGATCACGAACCTCTGCCAAGGCTATATACGTATCTATATGTGTTGTTTTTGTATCTATACTTAATAAATAAATACTCATACTGATAGTGACACGCATGAAGCAGCTTTTTGCCATGTACTGCTTCATTAATGAGGCCCTATTATTCCCTTTAGGTTGTCCCTCTCCTGTATTATATAGGTTTGTGTGCATGTAAATGGTCTGCAAAGGATCAGATCCCTGTGTTTCCTCCAGAGGGAATTTCTGTGAGACTGAATAAACATTCATAAGTCACTATCTATTGCTAAAATAAGGTTAACAAATGTTTTGCTTGACGTGCTAACATTTTGTTAATTAGCTCGGTCTTAATTCTATAGGGTTAGGGTTAGTTGAGCAGGTATTTGCTCATAATCCAAAGCATCAATAATCGATAATGGTCTGTTAACCTGTTCAGCCCTGAGCCTGTTTTTCAGGTCTCAGGCTCGAAAATGACATTCCCAGAACAAATGACCATATCTTCCCTTCTAAAAGGGTTAAATTAATATTATGGATTATAAATAATTTCTTCAAAGACACAGGTACATTATCAACCTATGGATCAACAGTTTCGTTTTAATGCCATTGAACACGTCTTTTGACCTAATTGACAGCTACGGTGAGACGATCTGCCGTAAAAGCTCCGTAAAGGTACGTGTTGTGATGTCTGTGTTTACTTCCCCTGTCGCAAGTTCGGATCGCTCAGTGATGATACTATACCTAAATAATCAGTGGAGTCTCAGCTTTAATCGGCTATATTGTATGTGCAGCTACGATAAGTAATAAGGGTATCTTTATCTTGAATTGTGTGCCGCAGTGCGTTAGAATTTTTTCGCTCAGGGGTCATTTAGACGCTTCTTATGAGACTTGTGTTTTGTTTTGGTAAAAATGGTTCATATCTTCAGTTAGCTGAGATGATTCCCGTTAATCTGGTGCTACACATTAATAGTTTCATCAATGTTAAGAAGCCCTGAGACATTATCTCGAAAACAAAACGGTGGGAGGGGTCCAATGGGGGGACCGCCGTGCTTAAGAGGTTAAAATGTGATGGAAAACGTTAAGCAGTTTGATGACGACAACATGCAACTCAGGACAGAGAAAAAGGCTCAAATACTTTGTCAAATTAAGAAATCTTTCACCAAACACTATTCAGTTCTCCCTGAGTCTGTGGAAGAACTTTCCATGGCTCCATTTACACAACTCAGTGATATACTTCATATAAAATGAACTTCTCTAAAGAGATGTACGTACTGTAACCTGTTAGAACCACTAGGGTTAGGGTTAATTTAGCAGGAATTCGCTCATAATGATGGATAATGGTGTTTCAAAATGTGATGGAAAACGTTAAGCAGTTTGATGATTGTTAATCTCCCGGGCTCAATTGCCAACATGCAACTCAGGACGATGAAAACACATTCAAACGAGGCCCATTATTTGCTGGCAGATGTTCTCCCTTTCATTCAGTTGGAACCAGCAGAAGAACACAGCGTTACTGGGCTCTGAAACCACTTCAACAGAGATGAATTGATTCTTGTTCCCACATGATGGCAACATGGAACATTGGCAGGTTAAATGCATAAAAAGAAGGGGGCTTTAGTCGAGTACTTACCACCTAAAGCTTGCTTCATTACAAAATCCATGGTTGCTGCTGATTCGTGTGGTTGATCTTCTCAAAACCAAAGAGAGCTGAGCATGTAGCCGCCGGATCTCTGGGAGTCTTTATCCTTCTCACTTTCCCCTTTGAATGTTGGGATGAAGAACGTCTTCTGGACCTGAGAGAGAAGAAAACGGTTAAATAAATATCCCGTGAAACCTTAGTTTTAAAACACATATTATTACATGAAAGTGTTGCGGTTTTGCTGTGTCTTCTGAGGCAGAATACATGTATTTATTGACTATCATGACTTTGAGAAAGAGATAAGAATAAATGTAGAAATTGACTGTAAAATTCTGGATATCTTTAAGAGAGAGACCGGAGAAAACACTTTCTGAGGTCGACTTAAACAAATATTAGACATATACAAAATACAGAAAAAACAGGTTTGCAGAGAGGAAACTTATTTAAAGGTTTATCTCATAAATTCAGGATTGTATATTTGATCAGGAGCCACTACAGCTGCCTTTACCTCTATGATCGATTTCTGTGGGCCAGGATATATCTTTCATTTACAAATCCATCTCCAATACATCACCAAAAGCGAGAGACAGCAGATTACGCTGATGTTAAGACAACAGATAATGTGATCTTCGTAACACTGTCCACCCGAGACAGGAATCCCATTCTGTGAAGAGCACGGATCAATACTGAGGCCATTTATTTATTTACTCACAGTCCCACATCCGTCTGAAACTCAATACAATGGATCAGTCATCTTCTATCGCTGACTGGTGATAAATATGTCATGGTAAATGAAACCATGTGGTCTTCAAACTCTTTATGACACACTCAGCTGCTTCTTGATACAATCACTGTGTGGTGGACTGAACGTTAAACAATGCATTTGAAAACGATTTGGATTGCAAAGTGATATTTATTTAAAATCCATGTCAAATATTAGTGACTGTCTTTGAATGAGAGGAGTAAAACGTTTTTTTTATACAACTGCATTTGCAATTAAATGCAACTTGCTTTAGACAGGAAGTAAACACTAGCAGGAACACAGTTTGGGCTCTCAGTGTTTAAAGAATAGTTCATGGAAAAGAAAATGTGAACAGACTTGGACAGTTACAGAAAACCTCGATCAGTGCTGCCGTCGTTTTAAGTTACGTTTCGGTCACCGCAGTTCTAGCCATTGTTACGCAGTAGAACAGACTATTTTCTCTTAGCTGAAGCAATACGAAGATAAAAAACACCCTGAAACACAGTATCTTTTACTTGATACAGTCATATCATTAATATCTTATAATCCAGGTTGAGCAGAACAGAAGAAGAAAGACAGGAAGTCAATGTTTATTCTCAAAGTTGCCCCTTGTATCTCTTTGATAAACTCTTCCCCTAGTGTCCACCAAGATAAAATCCTGCACATGTATTGCGACTGGCAAACCAGAACCTCATTTCCATTTGGAAAAAGATCCCTCCTGAGCCAAGGTGTCACTTTGCTACGCTAATATTTGCCAGAGCAGGGATGGGACGGCACATTGAGCCGAACAGATTATTTCGGGAGGCAACGGGGGAGGAGAGGCCAAGCGGGACAAAAAAATCAATTTGTAACTATGACCGAGCGCTTCAGGGGCTGAAGGGCCTCATTTCTATACACACACACACACACACACACACACACACACGCACGCACACACACACACACACACACACACACACACACACACACACACACACACACACACACGACACACACACACACACACACACACACACACACACACACACACACACACACACACACACACACACACACACACACACACACACACACACACACACACACACACACACGCACGCACACACACACACACACACACACACACACACACACACACACACACACACACGACACACACACACACAACCTCACTAGGTTTCAATAACAAATATACTCTGATAAACAATACGACGCATGCTTCTGTTCATGTGACTGTTATTTTGTATATTTTGATTGATGTGCTTTTATTTATTCTTAATGTGTGCATATGTGTCTGTTGATTGTGTATATATAGAATATACATATTTGTATACATATTTTTATATATATTTGTATTTTTGTATTCCTCGGGATAGTGGGAAACGGTATTTTGATCTCTCTGTCTGTACACACAAACTGAAAGATTGACAATGAAGTTGATTTTGACCTGACTGTTGACACACTTAACCTTGAGCGAGGCGAGTAAACTGTCCCTGGAAACATATTTGTGTGTTTGTGTGTATGGATAAAACAAATAAAAGCAGGTCAAGGATGGATTTGTACAGGTTAAATGTCATTACCAAATAAAAACATACACTGAGGTTTTGTGAAAAGAGCCTTGGACTCGTGCTTCCTTTTGTAAAGCTGTGACCTCATATTAAAATCTTACAGAGATAAATCACAGTACAGTAGAGGATCGACGTGTGTGTGTGTGTGTGTGTGTGTGTGTGTGTGTGTGTGTGTGTGTGTGTGTGTGTGTGTGTGTGTGTGTGTGTGGCCTCTGGTGTTTGTGGTCAGGCAGCAGAACATTTCTCTTATCGTTACAGAAACAGACTCAAGGAGACACTAATGGAATAAAGGAAAGATGCTGCTGTCAGACAAGAACATCTAGAAGGAAATGAAACACACACACACACACACACACATACACACACACACACACACACACACACACACACACACACACACTTGTATTGAGGGCATACAGTTCCAAACCTTGACATGAAAACCCTGAATCTGTCCAAGATTTCTTCTCAGAACTGATATTACATTGTATTTCACTATGGACTCTTTCCCCTTGCCACACTAAGCATCTTTGGTGCCACAGATCTTTAATAAACAATCCTACAGATGTTTTTGTTGTTGATTGGATAAGATATACTTTATTGATCCAAATAAGTATTTATTTTTGCATTATGTGTATTTTTTTTTAGATATTTTTTAATATTTCTTGATATTTTTCAAATCATTTTAAGATATTTATTAATTGTTTTTTTCAATTATTTTGAATTATTTTATTAATATTAACCTATCCTTTTTTTTCTTTTACTTTTTTTTAATGTTGAACTTGTTAATATCTTTTTAATATTTATTTGATATGTATAAATCTTTTTAAATATGTTTTAAATGTTATTGATTTCGAACACTGCTTTGTATCTGCTTCCTTTATCTTCAAACTGCTTCCTCTCCAGCACAACAGCACCAGGATGACACGATCTTAGAAAACCCTTCATGTGAAGAACACAGGAACAAATCACCGTGCGTGTTAACGTGTAAAAGCGGAGCAGCATCACTCCACCTGCCTCCTTCACATCCTCCATCCTCCATTCAAGCCGTTACGTAACAGTTGATCAGTGGGTGGTGTTTAGAAGCTGGAGCAGCTCTCACTCAACGGAGCTTCTCCATGCTGCTTTCAAACCTTACATAACCCTGCCTTTCACACAGGGCCAAATATACCATACAATACACTGTTCAGCACCCGAGGGCACCCTCCATCATCTCCCATCCCCCAACCTTTCTCCTTCCTCCTCCTCCACCCTTTCCTCTTCTACTTCTTCTTGTTATGTGATTGTGATGTGCTATATGTGACATGTGCTGTATGTAGTAACATGTGTTGTTTGCATTTCATTGTTCACTTGTATCCATTCGCCTCTATCTACTTGTCTTTCATCCAATTTGTATTTGCACATGTATATTTTCCACATGTATATATATCTTTTATTTATTATTCTTTAACTTTTTCCATTTTGAATGCTATTTTATTTCTATTTCTGAAATATTTTGGACTATTTATTTCTTGTATCTTAATTTCTGTTATGTACATTGCCTTGTGTTTTTTATGCTGCTGCAATGCAAACATGTCTCAAATTGGGATCAATAAAGTACCATATATCTATCTATCTATCTATCTATCTATCTATCTATCTATCTATCTATCTATCATCTATCTATCTATCCATCTATCTATCTATCTATCTATCTATCTATCTATCTATCTATCTATCTATCTATCTATCTATCTATCTATCCATCCATCCATCTATCCATCTATCTATCTATCTATCTATCTATCTATCCATCTATCTATCTATCTATCTATCTATCTATCTATCTATCTATCTATCTATCTATCTATCTATCTATCTATCTATCTATCTATCTATCTATCTATCTATCTATCTCTCCATCTATCTATCTATCTATCTATCTATCTTTCTTTATAACTAATGCTGTTGATGTATTGTGATTTTAAAAAGTTGATCAATGGGGACTGTCCACACTATAGACCAATAAACTAAACCAAACTCTACTTCTTCTTCCCCTTCTTCTTCCTTTTTAATTTCAGAATCCCTGCGCCGGCACTGGTGCGTAACGTGGATAATGTTATCAGAGCCGGGCAGATCATATCCCGTTAATTGGAAGTTGTTTTTCCGAGTTTCACGGCCGGAGACGAGGTTTGGGAGCGGCTCGGGAAGAGAAGACGAGTCTGTCAACGCTTCGTGTTCCTGACAGGCGAAGGAGATGTGTTATAAGGAGAAAAAAGAAGGATAGAAAAGCTTGAAATGTGTCTGATTTCAGGTCAAAGATGACAGGTCCATTACAGGAGGTACTACCGGTATGAAGGGAGAACAAGTGGATCCAATAGCAAAGTTATTCCCTTATTTTAAATATGGAGAACAATCATATTGCTGTTGTCATACAAAATGTAAATTCTCCAGTTTTGCTGATTTTCACTTAAAGGGGACCTATCATGCAAAATGCACTTGTGTACGTCTTTTCTACATGAATATGTGTCCCCGGTGTTCCAGGGAACTTACCAAGTGTCAGAAAACACAACCCTCTCTATTTTCCTCCATACCCAAATCTCTAAAAAAGGGGCTGCAACGGATCTGATCAAAACTGATCCAGATTTGAACACTGTCCTGACGTCAGGACGGTGGCGCTACGGCTATTGGGCCAACTCCACCAATCAGGAGGAGACAGCCACGGCCATTGCCGTTCGAAAGCGCTGGAGACGCTGTAGTACATATGCCAGGCCAGTAGATGGTGCTGTTCTCACTGAATCTGCCCTTGCAGAGCAGAGCTAAAAAAAAGTGCAAATTGAGCGAAATGAGGCATGGCTAAAATGCATG